GTGCCCCCCTGGCAAGATATTCTGCTCCTGGACTAGCTGGGTGGTTCTGTCCCCTGCACTCTCTGCACGGATTGCAGCTGCAGGTTTTGAGCTGAGTCTGGAGGGGACAAGGTGGAGTAGAGGGGAGAGGCAGCTCTCCCATACACTCACTAGGCCTGGGCTAGGAGTGGATCTGGGGGGTCCCGGAACGCGACAGAAATTCCTACTCGGCAGGCAGGCTGGGGGAGGTGCTGCAGAGTGGTGGGGGGTGTCCCAAGGAGGTGAAAGAGGTCTCACCCATGCTGCGCCTGGGCTGGGACCGGTATGTCCTGCCAGCGCAGGGTAGCTGGAAGCTCTCCCTTAATTTCTCTTGAGTAAATACCTAGAATTGAATTTTTAGGTCATAGTGGAAAGGCCAAACTTTTTCAAAGAGGATGCATTATTTATATTCCCACCAACAGTGTAATGCTAACTCCTCACCAACACTTGCTTTTACTGTCCATCCTCTTTCTCCATAGGCTCCACATCTTCAGATTTAATCAATTGTCCATGGAAAAATATCTGAAATGTCACCTTGTTGCTGATGTATACTATGTAGTTAGAGCTAAGATGGCCGTATCTGTACAGAAGGCGTGCAGGCCTTTTCTTCTTGTCATTATTCCCAAATAGCAGTGTGAAAAGTACATCTTATCTGACTTTTCTCCTTGCTGAGACTAAGTAGGTTAAAGGAGGAAAGGTTTGCTTAAGCTTGCGCTTTGTAGAAGTATCAGCTGGCTCGAGACAGGTGGCTTGGCACAGAGGCATCGCAGACATAACAGTGCCAAATGTGGCAGGCAGAAAGCAGCCAGCAGCCAGCCTACCTTCTTACTGTCCCTTTATATTCCTTCCAGACTATGAGCCTATTGACTGGGGGAATACACACCCAGGCTGGGGTTCCATCACCTACACCCAGGAGAAGGCCAAGCCAGTCAGTGGATTAACCCATTTATCTCACTCTTAATCCACATTCACACACCCTCAATATAGCCACCCCCTCAAAAAACAAAACAAAATAAAACAAAATCCACCAGTGAGCATACAGGGCTTTGAGGGGACATCTAGACACATGCTGTAACAGTGTTTACATAGTACAGAATTAGGTATTATAAATAATCTAGAGATTTCCCACAGGTTATGGGAGGATGTACCGGCTTTGCATGGATTATATGGAAATACTGTTCCATTTTATTTAAGAGATTTGAGTAGCTTAGATTTTGGTGTCCTGAGTGGGCACGAGAGAGGGCTGTGTCTGGTATGGCTGTCCAGGTGGATGTGACATGGTGCCTTACTGGTGGCTAAATAGTATTGAACATCTTTCATATTCATTTTTATATCTTTGGAGATACATCTATCCAGATCTTTTGCTCATTTTAAAAATTGGAATAAAATTGGATTTTGGTGGGGTTTTTTTTTTTTT